TAGAACAATTTATATAAGATTTCAAATATAAGACGATGGTCTTTCCACTCATGTATTTGATGCAAGGTAAAGCAAAGAGAGCTTGCCTTCTACTATCCAAGAAATACATGAACAGAAGACACAAAGGAGAACTAATCTACTTTTTTTTGGGTATAGAAAACTAATCTACTTGGAAGAGAATGAAGGAAGAAAGAAGGGTTGCAAGAAAAGAGTTCATCACTGCTCTTTCCAGATCCTCCCAGTAACCCTCAGTTTCAATTCCTTCTTGTCTCCACCTGAGAAGAAGAGAGCCATATTCCGTTGAATAATGAGACCATCAAAACTGTCACGAACCTTCCTATGGCTGTCCCTGATGCTTCTGGGGACCCCTTGCCAAACCATCTTCCTACCATTTGCTCCCACCTCTAGGCTGTAGCTGTAGTTCTTGGCTTCATTGTCATCGCCCATAAACCGCAAAAATGCAATATACACTGGTGCCATCCCCAGCTGGAAGGCCTCGAAATGCAGACAGAAATACTGCCCAAAGCAACTGAACACCTAGAGACACCAAAAGATACCAGCACATCAGTTGCACAATAATACCAATATTTAACAAGTCGCATCCACATGAGCAAGTTTTAACCAAGTAGCCCACAAACAGCTAGAAAAGAGACATTTGCCATGTTCCTTTTTCGGTAATAAAATAAAAAATATATATTAAAAGAAAAATAAGAATAATACAAGGGTGACTAGGAATAACCAACCACGAGGAAGAAAAATTAACAAAAAAGACCACTACCAAACAGAATCCAACTCCATACCACTCGACTAAACTTAGGCTGCATTTGGCTTTCCTTATTTAAGGACTTATCTCCTTTTTGCAGTTAAAAACTCAGTGTTCATAAGGGAATTTTAACTGCAAAAAGGAGATAAGTCCTTAAAATAAGGAATGCCAAATACRGCCTTAGCACCCAAACTCAGACCACACCAAACAAGGAAAAATGGCCCGGAAGACAATAAGCCCACTCAACAAGGACCCACTACTTCCTAAGAACTTTTTGATTACATTAATTTCTTGTTTAGTCCAACTCCAAACAGGACCCCCTTTCAAGAGAATGGGGCCAACATTTCAATCCAGAGCAGAAGAATGGTTTTAACAAGGTATCCTATCACATAATTGGCTCTTAACCCACATTGCTAGAGAATGGGGCCAACATTAAAAATGGTGAGCAGATGAAAATATTAAAATTATCTTGTCGTTTAAAGATGAAAATATAAAACACACCAAAAATTGGAAAAGGAAATCCAAAAATAAAATAGAACCTTAAATGAACAAGCTGATTGTACAAGAAATTACCGTTAACATCCACGTGGCATTCTCAACCTCATGTGGATTAGATTTAACATAGCGATGGTTGAAAGTACTTCCATTGTGCATGTCAACTTTGTGATCATCTTTTAGATGGGCCACCAGATAAGGAATATCACCAATGACAGTGCACTCTGAACCAGCATATGGACAGTTGTAAGGTCTGAATGAGCATTGAGCTTCATGCTTTAGCTTACTGTAATAAGGGTATATGCCCACACATCCAAAGGCCTCATATTTGCATGGAAGTTCAAGCGAAGCCGCCACCTTCTCCAATGCAAGGCATCTTATATTCCCAAGTTCATGCCTGCACGTGGGGCATCGGTTGTGAACCCTTGGCTTGCAACCAGAACACAATGTGTGGCCATTTGAGCACTGCAATAACAAGACAAGATGGAAGGACAAAGTGAACATACAACTTATATTGCTATACTAGCATATCTGTCTTGGACACAATAAGTACCCCGCACAACACCTGATACTGTGCAGACACTTCTAGATAGTGTATTAACACTTTAAAAATATATAAAGATCATATGTTTTTACAATCGCACTATAAAAAGATCTGTTTGCAACAAAAAACTTGGATTAAATTCCTCAAGGCATAAGTCATGACACCTATCTAGAAAACAAGACAGTTGCATGATATAAACATATTATACGGGGTAGGCCTACGGGAAATTGAGTGGTGTCTCCATTYATCCACTGCTTCACTATCTGTATCTGGATATCACAACTCTCAAAAGGAGACTAAACCATCAAATGTAACATACAACAAACAGGAACTAATTAACCTCCAAAATGAAAGAGAATTGACACCTAAGCAACTATAAAATAAGCGACAACCTCCAATAATTATTGAAAGGACAATAGAAGGCTGATTTAGTGGAATTAAATACAAGATATCAAAAGCAGATTTTTGAGGTCCTCACATGAAATCTCACTTATCTAGAGGCCACAGCCAAAAAATGGTAAACTGTATTTTACAGTTCTAAGAAAGACACTTGGATACTGTGAACAGTAAATATGCAGAAGGGAACACCAAAATAAAAGACGACCAAATGCGCAACAACCTAGCTGACTATTGTTAGAGGCCATAACCCTATGATGCCCAGATAAACATTAGACAGACACATATGGGAAATGGGGATACATATATTTTGCTAAAGGAAAATTTTACGATACCAAAAAGGCCTTGACCAATCAAAACCCCCCATGAATTTTGATGAAAACCAACCTGATTGGTGACCATTTTATGATGTCGATTGATTGGTCATAAATTTTTCCGGTATTATGTCTTTCCAGCATCATAGTCGAAACCTTTGCTTGTATCATAGTGCCTAATACTGTATGATTCCAAGCCTGGCCCAATCTCATATGCATAGTGCCTAATACTGAAATAAATGCATGTACTTAAGATAAATACAACAACTTCAAGCTCTGGTTAAGTATTACCAGTGTTTGTCTTACATTTCTAATAACACAACTTAGCCCAACTCTTTCCAATATGCAATGTTATTCTTGATTAACCTGGCATTGAAAATTTATTTATTTATTTATTTGAGGAAGCAGAAGCATCTGGCGGTAATGGATGCACTGATAAGCCCCTCCATTAATTAACAACTGGAGGAACAGTTGAGATTGGGAAATTTTTGGATGAGTTTCCCGCGCACACGCCCGGGGGGTGTTGAAGATAGTATGAGAGAGTGGTTAAGAGCTAGAGCACTGRAGGATCAAGAAACTCGCAAAATAAAATAAAATAAAATAATCCAAGACAAGCCACTGGTCAGGAGGTAGATCTAGACTGCACGAGTTGCAGCAAAACAGAGCAGTCCCTTGATAGTCTAGATTGTCTACCAAGTTGTTGGAAAGAAAAAGAAAAAGAAGTTAGATGACTTCCAATGATGACATTGTGGTGAGACCCTGTAGGAGGGGAGCCAATAGTACCTAAAGTTTTGGTGTAGGATCCTATCGTGTATGGCTATGTTGTTTTGTTCTTTTRGGAGTTAGGACCCAGCCAAAGGTTGGGGTTTCTTTATGTGGGCTATCTGTTGGATTGGGTGTATAGTATKTTGTTGGCCCAGCTTTTCGRGTAGTGGATATTCCAGGCAGTTGCTCTACCTGGTGAGCCTTCTCTTGTATTCCTCCTTTCTTTATTTTCTTTACTAAAATCCTATACATTTATTCAAAGTATGTAAATAATCAGGCATTACTTTAAGAGAGATCAAGCACATGGTAAGGAAAATGGTGAACCCCTTTCTAGTTCATATGGGTCCAAAGATCACTTAGATAGCTTGGGCTAGCCCAAAAAACCAAGGGTCTTCTTGTAAATAGCATTCTTTCATTTATATGAATAATAAAGTTTCTAAAGTTTATCAAAAATTACATTTATAGCAAAATAAGAAAATAGAGAAATACAAGAAAATGTTATGTTATGGCACTAAATCAATATTTGTAGCCCATCAGTACTTATGRGCCTGGTGGCTGAGCCGGGCCTAGSCCAGCATAATGTCCCTTGCACCCTGTGCTAAGCCCAGCACAACAAATCACACCCTACTTTCTCTTAGAACCTGCCATCTCACGTCCATTGAAATGCAATATTATGATAAATATTAAGTAATGAAGACCTCCATACTAATAGCAATCCACTGTATTACAAAGAACTAAAATATCCTAGACATTATAAAAGAAAAAAGTATGAGTTCTGCCACGTGGAATTTCAGTCAGTTGCAAAGCACCAGCCAAACTTCTGTCTAGCATTAATAGSCATTAATGAAAATCATCAATAAGTGAAGCAAAAAAGAACTAAACATGCAAAAGCACAATGTAAAGAATTCATCTCAAGCAACAAATAGAAGATACCACTCCTAATGTAAATAATAAAATTCAAATGGGGTTGGAAAGGATTCCTACTTTCTGCTAATGTTGGGTTATGAYATTTGGTTACAAATTAGGATACAACAAAATCCAGAAAGTAGTGACTTGTTTTTGTGTTTTCTCACTTTCTGCAACAATGATTTACACAAGAGAGTCTAGTCATTCATTTCCCAATGATTCAGTGGGAGGGACTAGGTTTCACTTTCCATTCCCCAAATCTAAAAAGCAGACAAAGGCTGTGATGCTAGAATAACTTTTGATGGGATTTAAACCCTTGAGTGAAGCAACGCAGATTTCAAATTTAGGAGTAGAAAAGATTCACAATGCACCATATATTGTGCTTCACATTACATAAGTTCTTTTTATTTTATGGATCATATTATATGAAGCAGACTTGAATGTTAAGAACGAGATAAAGTCAAACCTGATGGATGGGAGGGTACATAGCATTTAAGCATACTGGACACTCCAGTAGTTCGCGAACATTGCTAGCAACTGTCCCATTGGATTTTAGAGCATGTTGAGGAGGATCATTCACATGGTCACTGACATCCAGCATGTCTTCATTTTGGGGAGGATCAATAACTTCAGGCTTGGACCGCATGTCATCAAAAAAAGTATTCCCAGATGCCATTGATGAGCAGTATGGCCAGTTGGCTACTCTCCTTAACAACATTTGCAGATAAAGTTAATTCATGTTCTTCCCTTTCATAAAATCAAGGCTGGTAAAAAGTTAAACTTTTGCAGGAAAAATAACCATATGAATGGTAGTCTAACATTAAGATAGTTGTTATGTAAACCCAATCCCAAAAAAGATAAAGAAATAAGAAGCTATTGCATGAGTACATACTATAATTCCTTCTTATTAGTGCCTAAAATCTCTTTATTTCTATCCAGGTAACTACATTTTGAGCTTCCATTACAATATATATATATATATATATATATATTTGATGAATAACAGAAACTGATACATGAATATTATAGAAAGATGTACAAAGAGGATAGAGGGATAGAGAAACTTTCTTAACTCTCCCTCACCCAGGTAACATGATTACAGGATTACAAAACAGCCCAAAACAAATGATCCCTTCCCACCCCTGTTTTGCCAAGGAGTTAGCATTCCTTTTCACCCACTGTACATTGATTTTCATTCCTTGAGATAGCCACTTATTCCTTTTCTCATTAATATAGTTCCACTATCCAGCCTCCTCTTCCTTTTGCAACCACTCRATAACTAACTTTGAGTCCCCCTCAATTAGAAGYTTATGAATGTGTCTTTATCCCTTTGGAGGCCTTCCAACACAGCCATTATTTCAGCCCTCAAAGAGTCTCCCTCACCAATCGGACATTCAAACCCGAGTAAATGGCTATGATTCTTCCTTCCTCATTTCTRAAAACTCCCCCTATGACAGAAGGACCTGGATTTCCTTCACTACTCCAATCAAAATTCAGCATTTTTTTTATAGATACTACTCCCATCAAAATTCAGCTTAACAAAACCATGTGAAGGTGGGGGCCAATTTGGACTTAAGCTAACCTTGAAAGGAGTGGAGTCAGCAAGTGTGTGTGTGTGTAATCAATTTGTCATTGATCATGTTGTAAATAATCTAAATCTTCAACCAACTGATTCAATGATTTAGTGGGAAAAAAGGTCCAAAAGGTGTATAAAAAATTCATGTCCTACTGCAATCACACATTGGATGGGGAACCATTTACACAGGATCCAGAACTACAARGGATGGGGTTTAGCTGTGAACTAAGTAACATTACAAGCATGAGATCTAGATGCAGCAGCAGTAGCATGGCTTGAGAGCATTGCTCCTATCTCAAAGATTGATGCAAAACTAAACAGAGAAACTGCATAATGGGGCCCATGAGAATTAATGGCGTTATAAAGGAACCTGCTCCCAATGAACAGCTCTTCTAGGCCCTAGTTAAACTGTCATTTAAGAAGTATTTTTTGTGAGACTTAACAGTATGRGCTTGGGCCCATTATATTTCTGCTATGTACTTGTTTCTTATTACTGGGTGTTATTGAGCCTGGGCTTATTATGTCTTGTGTTTTTTATGTTTGTATCTTGGTGCCACCTAAGCAGGGGCATACTTGCCAATCCTAGTATTTATGTAGTGTTCTCAATTAAATAACAATCAAGAGGCTGAAGAGAAGATTCCGCCCATTCTTTCTTCTCAAACTTTCTCTTCTCTAACCTAGGGCTAAGAATCTTCATGGTACCAGAGCAATAAATCTGCCCTAGATCCTGGTCAGTTTTTTTCTTCTTTTCTTCCTTCCAGGTTGTTTCTTTCTTCTTCCTCTTGAAACCCTAATTCTGGTCTCAGCTATCTAGGGTTTCACCTCTTTCTCTAGGGCTCTTCCTTGGAGTTTCAGACCAAGGATGCCGTAAGTTGGTAGGTCATGAACTAGTGCAGCGTGGACTGCAAGGAGTAGTCAAGTATGACTACTAGAGAGACCTTATGGTGCAGGCCTAGAAGCTGGACTGTCAATCACAGCAGACCCAGAAGTTGCCTGGGTTATTGACAGTGGATTAGTGTGGTTCAAGTAGGAGTTACTGCTCCTGGACTGTTTTTTCTTTTTTTGAGAGTGAAGTTGGAAGATGGAGTTCTGTGGCTATTACTTCAGAAGCTGAAGTGCAAAAGGTTGCAAGTACAGGAGTTGTAGACCAAGTGTTTGATCAGTGGTGCAGCCCAAGCTCTTCTTTGTTTACTCGTGTCGGTGTTTGAGGGGGGTTTCCCAATATATTAGCCAAATGGCTTTGGTTGTTTCTGCAGTTCCTGGGTAGGCTTCAAGAGAACTAGAGCCCATTATGTCTTCAAATACTAGTGAGGTGGCATCAAAAGAGAACAAGTCAAGTGAGGGTTTCTTCAATATGAAGAATCCTAGTTATCCTAGTTTTCAAATCACCAATGTGAAGTTGGATGAATACAAATTCAAGGAATGGTCTATTTCCGTAAAACTTCATATCACAAGTTCTTGATTGTTGGTGTACAGCAATGGTCAGATTAAGGAACCAAAGATGGAGGAAGACTCATATGGAAAGTGGTATAGGGAAAATGCTATTGTCATGTCTTGGTTGCTATCCTCCATGACACCTAAAATTGCTAGGACAGTCCAACATTATCCAACTTCTCACAAGATACAGGAAAAATTGTTCAACACTTACGGACAGAGGAAAAACAATGTGCAAGGGTGTACAGGTTAACCCAAGACATTGCAGAATTTTCAGGGGAATTTGTCTATTGTGACTTATTTTGCTACACTTGAGGGAGAAGCTTGGCCACCATAAACAAGTTGAAGAAGGGTTTTCAAGTTTCTTGCTGGACTTGATTCTTCATATGAAAGCATAGATCTCAGAATTTAAGTAGGGAGGAACTACCTAGCCTATAACATGTGTTCTATTTGATAAGAACTGAAGAGGTTAGGAAGAATGAAATGAAGATGGATGTTTCTACACAGCAAGTAGAACATTCAGTTCTTGCCTTGGCCACCCAAAAGGGAGGAAAGGAGGAGATAGACACACCAATGATACTTGCTGGATTTTGTATCCCCATCTGAAACCAGCAGCTCTCAAAGAGGAAAAGAAACCATATAAGGGTCAAGGATCCCATGGGCATGTAGCAAGTTCAAATATGGTTGATGGTGTGACTAAGACTGCTACTTCTTGTGTCTCCTCATATGGGACAGACCATCAATGCTCCTAAAAGCTTCCTTGTAAAGAGGTAGACATCCTCAATTGAGCTATGGCTTGGCTGAAACAGTCCTCTATTGCTTCCTCATCTTAAGACAGGCTGAAAATTTGATGCTTTTTTGCTTTTTTGTGTCTAGCGACTGGGCCGGGGGCTCCGACTCCAGACCCTCGTGTCACGCCCCTCGAGGCAAGTCCATGTTAGGTCTTAAATTTTTAGTTCTCACACAATTTTGAGAACCCCCTATTTAGTAATGTTGTTCATTCATTCATACTAATAAAATATCTTCTTAAAAAGCAATTAAAACAATAAAATCATTATTTTTTGTGTGAGAACTAAGAATTTAAGACCTAATGTGGACTTGTTTGGGCTTGCCTCAAGGGGCGTGGCACAAAGGCGATTCATAGAATCAGGAATGTAATATGTTTTACATTACATTAGCTACTTGAGGTAATGCAATTGTGAAAAAAGAGATTGTGGGTTTTATATGCTTGAAAAAGTTTTATATATTTGATCTTATTTTTAAGTTCTCATTTGAAAATGCTTTACATGTTATATTTATGTATTTTAATTTTACATAATAGGTTTTTTAAAATTTAAGTTTATATTTTTATTAATATTATGTTAAATATTAATAGGTTTTGCATTTTTTAAAACATTTATTTTTGAATTTTTTGCATTTAGATAATAGGTTTTTGCATTTTTATTTTTTGGCTTTTTTGACTTTTTTTTATTTTTTGCACCTTGTTTAAAAAGGCGCGCACCTCGCCTTGCGCCTCAAGCGCAAATTGACCTCTATGCCTTGCGCTTTTAAAACACAAAGTGGCAGAGAGTAAGTCTCCTTCATCACTTTCCAAATTTCCTTGGCTATTTTTGTTCTCTTGAACCCATTTGGCATATGAAGGGTCTTCCTTGGTTGGTTTCTTTACATCCCCATTCACATAACCTAACTTTCTTCTATCCCCAATTGCCATCATGGCTGACTAAGCCCATTCCAAGTAATTAGAACCATCAAATTGAACAGTAGTAATCTGAAAACTATTATCTACCATGTTTCCAGCCCCCAAAACACCTTCCCCTTGAGTCTTAAACTCAGCTCTTGCCATTTCTCTAAGAGGTTTATCAGGAGAAACCAGTTCTCACCCAGAAAAGGTTTGGAGTCTGAAACCAGCCTAGAAGTCATCCAGAAAAAAACAACTGGAATGCTGAAACTGATTTAGGGTTCACCAAAAAAATGATATCAATCAGGTCTGATTGTATGGTACAGAGAAAACTCTGAGAGAACAGAAAAAACTCTCAGCCGCACCTCCTAAATAGATCACAGTCAGATCTGATCGTAGGGTTAAGAACAAACCCTAGAGAAAACTCTGAGAAAACAGAGAAAACCTCGGCCGCTCCTTCTAGATAGGTCTGATCTATCTATCACTGGTGTCGTTCTCAAGAAAAATTAGAAACTTACCTAGAAAAAGCTGATCGCCACTTCCAATCTCAATCTGAACCCTAGTCTTGATCTTTCTTGTACTTCTCTGATTCTTCCTGATTACCAAACACTCTCCAAGCCTTCTACAAACTGTTGGACAACTGCTAAACCCTCCTTGTAACCTCCAATAATCAGCCAATGGACAGATCTTGCTAGACTTCCAGCCCAAGGAGGTTCTCATGTAGTCGGCTGGATTAGACACACACGAGAAACCCTAGATTGGCTCTGATACCAAGTAGGCAAATCAGGACTGTAATCAGTCCAATTCTTGATGTAAATTCAATGTGAAAAAACAGAGAAGAAGAAAGAAGAGAAGAGAGAGAAGAGAGAAGAGATGAGAGATGAGAGAAAGAGTGTGGGTTAACTTGAGTTGCCACCCCACTCAACTATTTATGTTAACATTAAAATATAAGACTGCAATTACACTAATACCCCTACTGCTTATATAAGCAAATAACTAACAATACTAACATTGCTAATAGCAACCTAACAGCAAACATAAAGCAGGAAATAACTA